GCCTGGTAAATAATGCCAGTAGGCACTTTCTTTTCCCGAGTAAGGCTTTGCAAGAACTTTGGAACCTTGTTGCTGAAAATGAAATATTTGTTCCATGATTCCATATTTCGTTCAGAAGTAATTGGTGGTCATCTATTTTTCTCTCCCTTATGACTACTTGTGATCGACCCAGAAACTTGATTACTATTCACACACTTCGATAGTTACATCACATCGACTAGTAACAACCTATGTCCAAGCATTCAACTTCTCGCCTTTAATTAATGGGCTGCCTCACATTTCAGAGAGTAATTGAATAACGATAAGTTCATATACGTCCACGGCAGTAGCTGCCTTTTAAAAGTGTCTATTTTTTCATCTAGAGTAGCTTCTTTTTAAAGTAGCGTGGAGGTTTCTTTACTCGAATTTCAGATGCTTTAGGCATCTTACACTAGACTGCACTCGTCTATAACCACGGACTTACCAGTAAGTCATCTACTTCAGAGAACTCTTTTTGCATCTTCTTTCAAGACGCTATTTCAGCTGCAAAATGATTGCGTTTCTGTATGCACACATTTTATACTTGTCGCTACATGTGAACTCAGAAACAAAGTTCTCAATATTGATTGATATGTGGGGTTTAACGTCCCAAAGCCACCTAATGATTATGAGAGACGCCGTAGTGGAGGGCTCCGGAAAGTTTGACCACCTGGGGCTCTTTAACGTGCACCAAAATCTGAGCACTTCTTAATATCAATTTCTCAAAAGATGCTCTTGTCTCTTCCAAAATGCTTCTGTTCAAGTGTTGCGGTAAGTTTGTGTTAAACTGTCATTTAGCATCATATGTACTGTGCGTTACACTTTTTTTAATGTGCGGAGTGCTTTAGGGGTCAGGGCTGTTGTATGCGATAGTCGTGTCATATAGCTGGGCTAACGCTGGAAAATCACTGTCATGTGCTGGCATGCCGACGAAGCGATGACGACAAAACCTGCAGAGGTGCGAGCAGAGGTAGTCTGTCGCGAGCTTACTTGCCAACGCAGCGACCCGAAAACTCTGAAGCTCTAGCGATCGCCATAGAAGGCGAAAAAATTGGCTGCAGCGAGTTCCATCTAGGTGCGCGTATGGTGGAGCTTTTCAATCCTCCTTTAGCGGTCAGATAAGTTAGTTTGCACTTTGCCTCTTAGAGGTGCTGAACGCGGTTAAAAGTTTTATTTCAGGAGGCATGAAAAGGTTGCTAGAAGCATAGTTACCCCGTCTTTCTTAATAAAAGAAGTGGGAAATATTTCTATATTACTTCTACTACTAATACAAGAGTGGTGACTGAGTTCAAGTACTTTATCCAGACGCTCAAGAAGCCGCAGCCCTTTAGTATTGATTGCGTTTAAGTCGCTTAATTTGTCCAAATTCCACCGCGCTACTTTTTATTGATCAGCAATATGAAGCTCTATTTTAAATCGGCTTTTATATATCAATGCGAGTTTGTGTGTCAGACTTTACGTGCCGCTTCTACGAAGCAAACGTGTCGAAAGTTTATGAACCATGTCAGCTGCGGCGCTTCACCGACGTTGGGCTGCGCCGCCTCCATCGTTAAAGTTTAACGCAGGCAAATTGCTTGGAGGCTGCTTTACGAAAACGGGATAACTATCCATAAGGTGGGCGTGCACACCAATGAGTGAGAATGCACTGCTTTGCATCTTAACATGGTCCTTTTTTTGCATGCGCTACAGGTTTTGCCATTTCATAAAGCTTTTCGACTGGCCCAGTTCATGAGATGCACACATTGCGGATGTTTGAGATTGTTTACTTCACTCATACATTCGCTTAAAATGTCTTTACTGCTTAACTTTGTAAAGCAGATGGCATCATTACAACATAGGTTTTACCTGTTTCCACTTGAAATGAGTGCCACATGATGTGTTCATAAATTCTATGCATTGTAAAGCCAAGTGAACTTGTAGTAAATACACGAATTTGTACATATTTTGTTAGTTTACAATCAAGCATATTACAATTGCCTGAACCATATAGTCCATCCAGCTGGGCTATCAAGCTAACTTTCTTCTATGAAGAACGTCACTAAGACAAATAAATTATGAAAATGCCACCGGCAAGACAAATTCGCAAACGTAGCAAAGTTATGTCCACGCTAACATTATTATGTGCAATGTTCCCATGAAAATTATTTTTAGTCATGCGTCACAAATTCATTCATGCTTCTACCAGAGTAACCGCGGCAGTTGTTTCTTCTTACAAGCCAACTGCAGCCTTCAAGGAAGAGCTCATACCAGAGTACACTTCGACGCTTCATCGCTGAACCTACCTGAAATCAGCGGAGAATATGTCATGAGAGAAGGCACTCATTGTCCAAAATCCTCGCAAGGTATGGCTGAAAACATTTTATTCATTGAACCTATTTTCGTTTAACCATTTCCGTCTTACCTTCCTCATGACTGCTTCTTTATTTTCCTTCTCAAAAACTAGACGAAAGAGATACCTTTGGTTTCCAACCTACCCACATCAAGTCTTAAGAAGCTCAACTGTTGCCATAGTGACAACGCCATGTGCCACCAATATACCAGGAGGAGCAAAGGAAACGTTACACTGAAAAGCAGTGATAGTGTACGAATTGCTCAACTTGTACGAAATTGGGTGCACAAACTATTGTTTCTTCATTTATGAATTTTTAGTCTAGAGGAAATGCGCTGGCTGAAAATTTCTTGCATAGTACATGTGATGGGGTGCACATACTGTACTTCACTCTATGTGTGAAACTTTGCAAAAAGTATCACGTATAACTAGGCTGTAAATGAGCCTGTTGTAGTGCTTATATAGCATCACTTCTTTTTCACACGTGCTGTGATGGTGAAGACTGTTGCAAGGTTATGGCATGTGCAGCTACGCTGATGCTGAAACAAAAAGTTAGTCATACGACATGCTTGTTGGGTGTGACACTGTCAAGGTTCCAAAAAAAGAAACTGTGCTAGCACTGGTCCTTTTATTAAGCGAGACATGTCTTGCAGAGGTCACCTACACGACATGGCACGGCTTATTATTCAGGAATACATATGGTGTTCCAGCGTAGTCTCCTGCTCCAGAATGTATAACATTTTCTGGAGTAAAATAATTAAAGCGTGTACACAAGAACATTTTGGATAGTGTTTTATGTAACAGGTTGAGCAAATTATGAATGATCAGAAATATTTGTTGTTTGCTGTGTTCAATTAACATTGCAGATACATTAATGGGTTATGTTGTCACACTGTCCACAAAAGAGGTTACACCACTGTTGCATTTGCGTAAGCAATTTGTTTCGTATGTGAAGTTCAGTCTCAGACAAAGAGCACATGAAGTAAAAGCTCAATATTTTGTACTTGAAGAGGATTGAAATCGTTCGAATGAATGAGTAGGCACTAGAATGAACGAAAATTGCACCCCAATGCATAGACAGAATTTAAGAAAGCGACGTCTGGACTTATTATCGCAAACTGAGTGCTACTGCACATTTGTAGCAGGTGAATTTTTAATATAGGTTCATGGATCTTTAAGAGGGACCAAAATTCGCCCGTCCTTGATACGTAAAAAACAAGCACCGACATGCACGTGAGTAGTGAGCCCTAATGTTGAAAGAAATGTTTATATTTATGCATCAAAACATGTTTATTAACAAGGCTGAGTAAATGAAATCTAAATGAAAAGTAATCAATAATTTGCATTCGCTTGCATGTTCCTGATGCGACTCTATGAGCAAAATTTGTGGCTTGCCCAAGGGCTCCAGTTCAGCGTCCGATATGTCATCTGCTCAAAAATGCTGCTGTTTCATTGTTTTCCCCATCTAGTAAATTTGGTTTGCTTTGCAAAACATTGTGATCCCTCTGGACAAACTTCTACGAGAAGCGATGAAAACAGGGGGCTTCCAGTTCGACTGAATCATTGTAGATACGAATACGTTCAAATGATCGAGATTTCTCCCATTGAACTATACGGCTGTACCTCAACCAGGATGTCAGTTTGAATAAACTGTAGCTTTTTATTAACCGAGTCCAATTATCCAGCTTTTACTGTAATAATATCTCTTATATTTAAAAAAGCTGACACATGACAAGGAATCTCTAAAAGTATATTTAATCCTACAGAACAACAGTTGATTGCCCTCAGCAGGTATAATCAGAATTGGCCAGCCTTTGTACATGCTGATTATTTCAATGTATTTGATTGATATGTGCGGTTTAACGTCCCAAAACTACCATACGATTTTGAGAGACGCCGCAGTGAAGGGCTCCGAAAATTTCGACCACCTGGGGATCTCTAACGTGCACCCAAATGTGAGCACACAGGCCTACAGTCGTATATTAGAGGAAATGTTTTTCCTCCTCCATCGGAAATGCAGCTGCCGCAGTGCAAGATATTTCGAAAATACATGTAAGATAACTTGTAGTACTGATTTCTTCATAATAAAAATTGTTCGAGTAGAGTAAAAAAGTCAGTAGTTTTATTGTCAAGAAATCGAGTATTCTGCGCTCATATGCTTGACAACTCACCGTCATTTTGCTTAGTTATATTGGTAGATTGTACGACTGTAATAGGCTAGACTGTAATAGGCTTCAGCGCGAATTTGACAAAGACAATGAGGACACATAGAACACAGGTGAGCACTGACTTACTTAGAAGCAGGTTTTGGCGCATAATAAGGCTTGTTGATTTGCAAATAAACTCAATTGGAAGTCAACGCTCGTCTGTGTTCTGTGTGTATCCTTTGTCTTCGTCAAATTGGCGCTGATGCTATTCTAGCTTGTATGAACTCACCCAAGTCAAAGTGCTGTTGAATAAAATGTCAAAGACTCCGGAAAATATGTTTGGAATTCCTCGCGATTTTGTGGTAGAAATGAGTGGATGTCTGTTACATCTCTACTACACAGAAAATACTAACGCACAATTTTCGCGCTATCAAGCTGTACCACATGCAACATGTACTACACCACAGCTGACAATGACTACAACCACAGGCGTTGACCATTCTCGCCTAAGAAGCCACCGATAGTGTGTATGCAGCTGCGAGGATGGCTGCAATGAAGTTGCACCTTGGAGTGGGCATGGCAGGTAAGTCGGTAGCATAGAGCCTTCGGAGGTCGGGCTCTTCCGCTGCATAGCATGAAAGAAGAAATAGAAGGTGGAACGAAAAGCTTGGCTTGGTGGTGCGGAAGTATGCTGTAACACAGAGACTGGAAGATGTTGTGCTGCTCGAATGCGTCCGCCGACTGGTAGTGCGCTGTATATGGCAGAGAAATCAGTTCAGCTTCACAAGAATTGGGCCCGACTGGTGTGGGCGGATTTTACAAACTGTACGCCTACAATTGCATGTCGGGATGCGATTGTAGGCTGAAATCACGGACTACTGTCGTGTGCCGGCGGACGCCACTGACGCCTATATGCAGTTAAAGAACAGCATGCAATGAATGTGTACAGAGCCATCATTCGAAGCCTCCTAGAATGCCCCAGAGCCTTGTCCCTTATGTACATTTGCGCAGCCCTGAATATTTTATTTTATTTATTCAATACTGCCAGCCACCCTTTGGCAGCCAGGGCAGGAGTGGTACAGTGCAGAGTTTGAACACAAAGTTTACACACGACCAGTAACACGGTCCGCGGTACACAGGGAAGCAATAATGCAGTAAGCTTACAGATTGTCACGACACACAAGCGCACGCAATCAGTAACACGGCCCACGATTCGCAGAGCAGCAGTAATTCTCGTTACAAATAGCTACATGAATATGCAATAAAACCGGCAATGCTAGTCTAATGCAAAACACACAAAGTACACTACGCGCATTGACCAGGAAGCGTGAAAAAAAAACAAACTCTTGTGTGGCCTCCTGTGTACGTCTTCCACCATGAAGTCGTTCACCGCGTCTTAAGAGCGCAGCCTCGCAAGTTAGGGAAGTGCTTCGCTGTATGTATCGTTGCTACATTAGTAAGACTATTCACGATGTTGCAAATGACGTACCGGTCGAATGTTTTCCATTGCCATCGCAGCCGCCCACAATGTAGATGCTTCTTCCTTGGCGAGCATTCTCGCGCAGCTTCGCGAATATATAAGGTTGGTAATACAGGTTCGCGTGTCGGGATCAAAGTCGCTACTTTCAACACTGTCGAAGGACATGGTCTCTGTGAAGCCTCCCGCGCCGAAAAAAAATCATAACACAGTGACGCCAGCGTTAGGCGAGTTTCCCAGCATTTACTCGTTCAAAAATCGTCAGCATTTACCTAACGCGTGTAAATAACATGATATTTGTGAACTGCGCGTCAAGTGGGCCCTGAACTCTCTTAATGAGTCGGTGGGAGGCTACTACAACTACGAAGTTGCGAGTACGATATGAGAGCACATACTAACTCAGTGGAAATGCGCACGTCCAATTGTTTCCGCCCCGAAAGCATTGTCTCAGTAGAGGTCCGTGCAATGTGAGTGGAGATTAATGGAGCAGTGTCACCATATCTTGAACTAGAAATGTGCATTCATTTGATTGCTTGGTACGCAGGAGTTTTTTTTTGGCAAGGTATGAATCGCGTTTATTACGTAGAAAATTACTCTATTTTGAGCATAAAGAGCGACCAAGACTCATCAGTGCATTACCGGCCATCACACATTAAAGTATTTTGACGTATTGAGCAAACCAGTAGCCGGCCAAGACAAATTATGAAAAGGCACTTGGCTGCTGACCCGCAGGTCACGGGATTGAATCCTGGCTGCGGCGGCTGCATTTCCGATGGAGGCAGAAATATTTCAGGCCCGTGTGCTCAGATTTGGGTGCAGGTTAAATAACCCTAGAAGGTCTATATTTCCGGAGCCCTCCACTATGGCGTCTTACACAATCATGGTGGTTTTGGTACGTTAAACCCCACATATCTTATCTATCAAGTTATGAAAGAAATAATTCACCATCACTTGTTTGTAGAACAAAGCATCGGTCTGAAAGACCATCATACATGAAGTGTCACCCAAATCGTGCTGAGCAGCGAGTAATTGGTGCTTGCTGCTTGGACATTTAGAGACCTAATATCCAACTGACACCGTATCCACATCAGCTGTCACTACTGACGGCGCTTACTTCGCGGACATTACTAAGCGATTCGCCCAAATATTGACGTCGTCGGTGGCGTAGAAAACAACGTCGCTATACTCGCACGTCTTCCGCTGTTCCCGCAGTCCCGGCATGGACTTGCGGGTGGCACCAGGCACGAACTGTCCTTGTTCGCCATCGTTTTTGAAGAGCTTCGTTGCCTCGGACGACTTGGTGAGCATGTCATTGTTGCCCACATCTTTGTCGGTGGGTTCGTTTACCACTGGTTAGATGGTAAGCTTGGACAGGCCGATCACGAGGAGCAGGCGGGCATCTGCGCCAGTAACAGTGGAGCGACCAGGAACCGCAGTGCGCTGGTGTGACCAAGAGCCGACTAAGCACTTGCGCAGACTTAGCGTATAATATAGCCCTCGAAATCAGTTCAACAACTTTTTTTGCGTGCTGCTTGGCGCACTCTCGTACTTCTTCTTGTTCACCTTTTGCTCGTGGCGCATACACACTGTTGAGGGTTGGCCAAGAGTTAAGTGTTCTTTAAAATAGTGTGCAGTTTTAGAATAATAAAGGTTATATAATTAATGTAAAGATTACAAAGTACCTAGGTAATTATGATGCGTGTTGCGTATAGTTGACCGTTGTTGCCTTTCCCATCGTCGTCTTTGTTGTAGGTGCAGTAATTTTGAGTTCATCAAGTCTGATTATCAAGTGAAGTGCATGCCATTATATAGCAAATGAGGCTTCTGTGAACTACTTCTGTTTTCGCAACACCAGTTTTAGTAATGAATGTTGAGGGGGGAGTCATCCTATGCTAGGCGGCAAAGGAGCACTTTGGAGCTCGACCAAGAGGCAACGGTCGGGTGTCAGAAGTTCCAACAGGCGACACAGCAGTTCATGTGCGATGCCAAAATGCTATGTTTTTTAAATTAATGATTGGAGAGCAAAAGGACAGGTTGCAATCCTTGAGGGAATGTGTGAAAAGCCTATAATATATACACCAATAAGGAGAAGAAGAAATTACACCAACGCCCAGTAAATCTAATTATGAGCAGCATGAAAAACAGCGCATGGTTCGACTTAAATGTTTCGTTAATCGTTGGCACCTTGCCGGATGTTTACGCGTCCTTGCAACTGGAGCACACGATTCATTCACTGTAGTTTCTGTTGTTGTTACTCGTCCCGAGCTCATGTACGAGGACCCCACGCGGGAGCACATGGGTTCATCGCGCGTCTACAAAATCTCGGTCCCCGACGCGATCACTTCTTCTTCTTCTTCTTCTTCTTTTCTTCTTCTTCTTCTTCTTCTTCTTCTTCTTCTTCTTCTTCTTCTTCTTCTTCTTCTTATTGTTGTTGTTGTTGTTGTTGTTATTATTATTATAATAATATTTTATTATTATTATTATTACTACTACTACTACTACTACTACTACTACTAAAATGATTATTACGGGACTGCTAGGGACAGCTTACGCGCATTTGTAGTAAGGGTGGTCAAGCCACACACCAGATTTAACTCCACCGTAAGCTGCTTCGCATCTAAAAAACAAGAAGTAATACTGATTGTTCAAATAGTGATAACAATTCACCTTGTACTCGGCCGATTCCCCCAATGGATGTGTTCCATGCGTACTGGTCAAGAAGAAGAATGAGGAAGTTGGGGGCGTTGGACAACTGTGGCGAAAAGGAGCCTGTATTAGCGAAATTCGCGTAGTGTTTCCCAGGGGGAGCGCGACGACGATAACACATGGCCCAGTTTCTGGTCAGGATGGTCAAACAGTAGGCAGTTCAAGCAGGAAACTACCACCAAACGCAGTGGTCACGTGACGCGACGCTTTGAAATCTAATGATTATTATCCCCACAGATAGAAAGTAGCCCGCCAGACCAGTACTTGCATAAAGTGAGAATGAAAGTCGCGTTTATTTCGCATCAATACAATGCAATGATACAAAAAGGTGGCCAAAAAAGCTGTCATCTAGACAGCTTCACAGGCCGCAGGCCCCTTCATTGGTGATAAGAGCTGCAATATATTAACAATATATTAACATACTTTACCAATATTGTTACACGACATCGGCAACGAAAGAGCATCATAGACGACGAAGACGATGAAAGCGACCATGCTCGAGTTGTTATTGCTGTTGTACCTCTATCTTGGCTGCAGCTGACTCTGACTCTCCCTGTATATTTTATAAATATATTTATTTCAATAATTCTCTCAACCCGTGATATTTGGTGGAGGTGCTGGGTACAACACCATATAACGGCGCTCCGCAGTGGCCGAAAATTGGATTTTTCCACGATGGCAAACCAGGGACCCACTCCTGGCGAGGCGACTACAACAACTGTTGTCCTTCCGCAGCTAAAAGATCCTGGCACATTCTGTGGCACGAATGGTGTCGACATTGAAGAATGGTTGCCGTTGTACGAACGTACAAGTAAGAATTACCACTGGGATGAAGCTCATTTGTTAGCCAATATCCTGTTATACTTGAAAAGAACAGCAAAACTGTGGTACGAGAACCACGAAGATAAAATTGGAAGCTGAGATGCATGCAAAGAAAACATGTGCGCCCTTTTCGGCAAGTCTGTGGGTAGAAAGGCAGCGGTCGAGAAGAAGTTGGCATCTCGTGAGCAAACGTCATCAGAGTCCTACGTGACTTACTTACAGGGCGTACTTGCCCTTTGCCGAAAAGCAGACAATGGTATGGAAGAAACCGAAAAACAAGCTCACATATTGAAAGGCATTGCAGATGATGCCTTCAACCTTTCATATGCAAGGACTGCAACACGGTAGATGCCCTCTTCAAGAAGTGTCAGCGCTTTGAGGCCGCAAAAAGTCGACGTATTGTCCATAAATTCACTCGACTACCAAACACAGCAGCAACCTGGTCGTGCGAAGACGGGCCTGCACTATAGACGCCGTTAACTGCAGAGCACGTCACCAAGATCATCAGACGTGAACTTGAAGCTCTGTCTCTTGCATCCACGTGCTCCCATGCATGTGACTCAAGCCCTCAGATGGTGCCACTGGTACATGCCATTGTGCGACAAGAGCTTTCAAATGCT